GTGTGCCGGCATGAAATACTGTCCCGCTCTGCTGAGCACGCCAAGCTTTTTAGAGGCCAATTTGGCCTTCCCTTCCAAGTGACCACGAAACTGCACGTCACTCGATATGTCGACGCCGAGGATTCCGATACTGGCTGAGGCAACAAGGGGAGTGCCTTGAAACTGAGTGGATACGACAAAGGGGTTCTTTTTAGCGGTTAACGCGCACACTTGTGTCTTCTGGGGGTTAAACTGGACTAGATTTAGTCGCCCCCAATCCGAGACTCTGTCCAGCAGAGACTCGACTTCAGACACAAGTTTGTCCCGGCACTCAGAGACGTTTTCCCGAGAAATATTGGCTCGGCCGGTGTAAAGAGCATCACCAGTGCTGTCATCTGCATAGCAATGAATGCTACGGGTTTGCAACATATCATTGATATGCAGAAGAAACAGCGTTGGCGATAGCACGCAGCCCTGTGGAACACCAGCATTAATAAGCTTGCAATCGGAGCTTGCACCGTCTACAACGACCTTGATGCTCCGATCTGCAAGAAAACTGGTGATCCAATCGCACAATTTCTCGAGAAGCCTATAGGAAGGGAGCTTCGAAAGAAGCGCTTTGTGCCAAACCCGATCGAAGGCCTTCGCAATGTCCAAACTAACGGCCAATGCCTCCCCCTTGGACTCTACTGCCTCCGCCCATCTGTGAGTTAGGTAGACCAGAAGATCACCAGCTGACCTACCACGGCGAAAACCGTATTGGCGGTCACTAATCAGCTGGTGATCCTCAAGGTACCTCATGAGCTGGCAGTTTACAATGGACTCCATTGTTTTGGAGAACAAGGAGGTGATGGCGATAGGCCGGTAGTTGGACGGGTCTGAGCGGTCGCCTTTTTTAGGGATCGGGTGGACGAAAGCCGTCTTCCATGATTTTGGGACTACGCCTAGGGAGTAGGAGTACCGGAAAAGACGCGTTAAAACCGGTGCCAACTCTGGAGCACACGTCCTCAGCACAATTGGGGGGATTCCATCAGGCCCACTCGACTTATGGATGTCCAGGGAGAGGAGTGCTTTGCGAACCGAGCGCTGAGTGAACTGCACTTCCGGCATGGAGCACTCACACCGCGGAATGGTCGGCGGCGTACTCCCCCCCGTCATCGAGAGTCGAGTTAGACGCAAAGAAAGAGCCTAGAAGATCGGCTTTCTCCTTTGCGGTGTGGGCCAGTGAGTCGTCCTCCCTGTGCAGAGATGGAAGAGATGGTTGACAGAAATTCCCCTGGACAGCCTTGGCGAGAGACCAGAATGCACGGGTTCCAGAAGGAAGACGAACTAGTCTCTCGCCAATTCTGCCTATGTGCTCTGACTTTGCCTTGGCAATGACTCTTTTGAAGGACCTAGAGGCGGAATTATACTTCTTTTTTAGAGCGCTGGTGTTTACATCCCTGGACGCTGATGCGTCAGCCCAGGCTCGGTAGCACTCCTGCTTATAGCATGATGCTATTTTACAGGAGCGACCAAACCATGGCTGAGATTTGCCTCCAATGGGCACCACAGAGGAAGGAATAAAAAGTTCCATACCCTGAAGTACCACATCAGCGACAGAATCCGCAACAACGTTGGGATCGTCCGGCGAGAAGCAAACCCGCCCCCAAGGGTAGGATGCAAAGAAAGACCGCATCCCATCCCAATCGGCTGACCTATAGTGCCAAACACGGCGGCAGCCTGCAGAATGCAACCGCGATTTCAGCGTGAGTGGCACCACACTCCGGACAAGACAATGGTCCGAGGAGCCTAAAGGGGCGTCGACGGAAATCTGATATCCGTCCGGGTGAGAGGTCAGCAGAAGGTCCAACAGGGAAGGTGCATGATCCTCCACATCTGGAATCCGCGTAGGCGAAGTAACCAGTTGTGTCAGACCATATGCCAAGGCAAAATCATGAACAGATCTCTCTGCATGATCGGTTGAACATGAACCAAGCCATTTGGCGTGATGGGCGTTAAAGTCGCCGAGGATCACGATCTCTGCGGAGGGGATCTGCTGTAGCAACGAATCTGCAGCCATTTGGACGTGGTCGAAGAGTCGGTCTGTTTCGGCATTACCGCTATGGGACCTATAGAGGCACCCGTAGACGCGCGGATGGTCGTCGCTGTCTACGCGTAGCCAAAGGATGGACAGGTCCGAACCTTCAAGTCTGCCGAGGCGTCGAGAACAGATGTCCTCTCTGACGTAAACGCAAACTCCAGCCCGAGGCACAAAGGAGTGAGAGATACGAGACATCAGCCGGAGAGGACACCTGCGTCTCGGTCAGAAAGAGCAGAGCCGGCCTCGCCGTCTCGAGATGGTAGTGGACGGCGTTTAGGTTAGAGTGAAGTCCCCTGATATTGCAGAAATTCACGGACAGCGTGGCAGGGGTCGCCTTGGTCTTGTTGCTCCGTTTGCCCCGAGCAGTTTTAGTCTTGAGCGGAATATTGCCCCCCCAGAATACGAGGGGCAGCCTGAGCACCCACGCTCAGAAGTGGAGAAACATGGTCGTGGATGCTCAGCGAGGGATTCTCCAGGGGTGCTGCTACCCTCTTGGGGTAGTCTATCATTTAATTCCGCTACCATGTTGATGGGGGGGGGGGGGATTTGGGCCTCTGGCCACCTGCACTCACCAGACGAAACGCGGAAGCAGAGCTTCCACTTCACGCCAGCTGAAGACCGAGTGTGCCAGCATCTTTCCTGGGACACTTGAGATTTTGTGATTGAGAGGTTCTATGGGCAGCTGTACACGTCATCGTCGAAGCCACAAGTGTGAGTAAGATCCAAGAGCAAGTCTTATCCGACATTATTCCGATGAAGATATGATACCATAGACCACATACATACCCTTCGGCAAGTTCCTCAAAAAGTCTCGCAAAGTTCCCGCCTGGCTTCCAAATAGATCACCAGCATTGGGTTCAGAGTCCTCGAGACAGCCCGATTCCGCTTGCGGGGAAGTTGCACTCAATTTTTGAGAAGCGTACTTCGCGTTTCCACAACCGCCTCTTTCAATGTACTCCCCATTTGCTCTAGTTCTAGTTGCTGGGCGACTGTTCCATCATTGTTTGAAGCAACCACAACTGGGGTATTCACGGCGGCATCCACGTGTCCGAGTTGCTCTGCCACTTGTGACGCCGCATCCTCAGCCGTAGCACGTTCATCTGATTAGGGAACAGCCTCACTTTGTAGCCGTTCGAGTTCGGCGCCATCAAATATATTTGAGCGCAAGATATACCGACCTTGGTCTGCCAGGTTTTTCTCTGTAACGGTTATAGAAGGCTCCAGCTCAGCAAAAAGACGATGCATCCTAGCTTCATACGCAAAACCTCCAAATTCTCCCCTTTTCACCCTAAAATACACCCGCAATGCGTTTGTATTAATTTTGATTGTCTATCGCATGTGGCGTATTCCACTAGTGGCGGGTGCCGATTGCTGGGTCTGCGAAGACCCTGTCGTCTCCAAGCAAGCTGGTGGAGGTGATGGATGCGAGGGGCTGGGAGTAGGTCGTGCAGCACCTCACGTTCGGCTAGCGGTTCGCAGGCTATCGCGTCCAGCGCCAGCTCCAGACGCGTTCTGATGATCTCCAGGCAGCGAACCTTTGCGCGTTTTATTAAATTCCATCATCCATTTTAATGGGCGTCATTTAACGGGAGACGCCCAGCCTAGATTGATATATATATGTGTGTGTGTATTATTCAGTATGATGCGCAAATACATATATATGTATTTGCGCATCATACTGAAACTATTGAATATGTTTGGATGCAATTAGGAATTAGGACAAACACAATTCCGTATTTAACCCTTAAATGCATGATTTTTCCTTTTTAAACAAATAAAATTTATTTGGATGTAAGGTTAGCTCTATAGTAAAGTAAAAATAATTAAAAAAAATATTCATAAAATTATTTAATTTTTTTAAATAATGGATTGATGGAAATTTACATCATTATATCATCAGAACTAATTTATTGGGAACAAATGTTTATTGAGACAATAAATTAACTCATTATGGTATTTATTGAAACAATTAAAGTTTTTGTTGGAGCACAGGCTTACATTACATTTGGAACAATGTATAGTTGAATATCCCTTACAATTAGGGTATTTGCATCACAAAGATCCTCCTACCACAGGCCAATGATTTAGCTCATCGCTTTTGGTGGGGCCACTGATACAGCACTTCTTTTCTTATGGCCTGTGTATCTATTTCTAGAAGAATAGAACTCTTTTATTTTCTCTAGCTACGCCCATGTTGCAGATGACGAAGAACAGTTCATTTCTAAATGTACCTAAATTGTACTTTTTTAACAATTAATTTTTTTAATGTATTATTAAGGCATTTAGCACTGCCCGGTCTAAAATATGAATATATCATATTCTTGACTTGAGCCTTATTCTGTACATACCCAGTAAACTATCCATTAGATATACACCTCCTACATGGGCATTGTATTCACTTATAATCTTAGGGCATGGAATCTTTGTTTTCTTTTTTTTTCTTGCCATAACTGGATACATTATTCAAAGGCAAAGCACCAACATATGATGACAGTAATGTAACTTTGTTGTCTTTCCATGCTACTTCACTCATAGCCACACTTTGAAATATTGTTACTCTTCCTTCATGTGCACCTCTTGGGATAGATTTATTCATAATTTTTTTATCAGGCAATTATGAATTAGGCTTTCTATTTTGTTGAACTGTTGCTACTGAAGGATTCCTTAAGTTGCTAAATATTACACCAATGGCAGAGATGTATAAAAACTATCAAAATAGACAATGTGACTGACTTGCCTTGGTATATCTCAGGCTAAACGAAGGACATTATTGCTGGTTGAGCCTAAATGTGGTTCATTTTCAGGTTTTTTGGTAAGGTCCTGCCCAGCATATACATCTAAGTTGTATGCAAATCCTTGCAGACTACACCAAACACACAGTATAAGCCCCCACATATGAGGCTTGTTGGGCAAGTACTGTATTAGATATATTCTAAGTTTATTTTTTCCAGATGTCTTTTAGTTTATCTAACAATCCTGAAAATATATGTACTCTAGGGGCACTATTGTCTACATCCTGGTTGTCTATTGCCTTACTTTCAATCAAGGGCAGGTCACATTCGTCGTTTTGTGAGTTTTCTGTGTCCTCATTACTTTGTAACATATTCAGTAAATCATCTCCGTCGTAACTTTCAGGCACATTTTCCTCCTCTTCATCAGACTTCTCCATGTCATCTTCCGACAACAACCCACCTTCCAAAGATGTTAAATAATGTTCTATATCTCTGTCATAAATTGTAAGATATCAACACCTGGAATCAAAACGAAACAAAAGTATATCAAACAATAGCACTTCATTATTTTTCATACAAGCTAAACGAACAACGAACAAATGATGATGTAAAGTTACATCAACACAATTTTGGGTTTGTTTCTACATATTTTTCTATTTATAACAGAAATAAAGACATAAATCAAAATACTAACCTTAAATCCATCCAGGTTTTTCTGTCTACGGATAGGTACAATTGTGCAATCGCAAAAGGGGCTGGGAACCTAGCCGCATAATTACTATCTGTTCAATGCACTTTGATTCATCGCAACTTCAATGTTTGTCTAGTAAACATCGCAAATTAGTCTGTAATGCTTTATCAACATTACTGTTAACAGATACTGTATGGTTCATAAAAGATAGCTTGATCTCTGCGACAGCTGTCAGTAAAATCACGCCTATGAAGTTCTGAATTTCTTAGTAGTATAGATTATAAGTGTTATTCATTTAAGGATTGTTTTTGGAAACCCACTTCCACCAATTGTTGTTTTGGTACTGATAGCCTTTTCATTTCTGGTTTCACGTATAACTATGCAAAATTACAGCTCTTTAAAGTACTAATAGTCTCATCGCTAAGCCACGGATAGATGGACAGACGGACGGACTTGATGTTACTATAAAGGTTCTTGTTGTTTTACTTCGGAACCTAAAAAAACTTGTTGCGCTAACCTAATTAGAGTTCAAATGATTTTATTTGTTCGAGTGTATTTTGCTTATGCTTTGTTCGCTTAGAGAAACTAATAATTAATTCGTCTCTCTTACACTCATAAATTTTTAATGTTGATGTATTTAATCTATAAGTGTGCGTAAAATGTAACAGTGTTGGAGATTTAGATTTGTATGTGCCATACATAGATGCCATACTATAATGGTGCCATAATTACAAAAAAATTATTGAGTAGATGTGCAGTACTGTCTATGTAGTGTCTTCTCGCCCCGCACCAAAAGTGACAGACTTTTTTGTTCGTAGAATTAGGCACATTACTCGTCCTTTGGTTGAATGGTCTAAGTTCGTAAATAGTTGACGTTTTATAAAATGCAATATTCTCAACTACGCGAGTCACCAGAGACATTAAATTTTTCAACTTAGCACACTTCACTCCGTTTATAACTGCTAAGTTCATATTTTTTCTTCTTGTTACGCTAGCGCTATTTTGGTGAATTCTGGACCTATAACTTGCTGCTTACAGCTGGACACTTTTTCGACTTGTCCCCCACATATCTAGTCCTCCTTATGCGAAAGAAGAGATGGTGACATTCACATTGCTATATTTTTTATTGTATATATGAAATAATTTATGCATAAAGAGTTCGGTTATATGAGGCTTTGTACAGTTTTGACTCTTTATGCTAGTAATTAATGTAGTAGTTTAAATAATGGTTTAAAATCGATTTTGATACGTAAAAGTGATGCAATTTTGTGTATTAAGCGTCTGCGCATATGAAATATTAAAGAAAATGACGAAACAAATGCTTCTATGTTGATATAAACTTCATAAATAAATAAATAATAAATTCATTCACAAGAAACATGGTACAAAGATGTTCTTATACAATAATAATGTATCACATCACAAATTTTGGTACATGAAAACTTATTTACTAATCAACTTATGGTTAGAATATACAAAATTTAAGTAAAATTAAACGTGCATCACCTTTCAATTTTAATATTTATCCTTTAAAACACAATCAAATAAGAAACAGCGTTCAACAGTCAATAGAAACGCTCTTTTATTTTTAGCAGTTCATTTACCCAATAAAATTGTTTTTTTAAAAGCCACTTTAATAAATTACGTCTAAATCGATTATAATCTAGTTGCCTTATTTCATTTGGGATTTAATTAAACACTTGAATAGCCATCACATAGCAATTTTTTGAGTACAGGCTAGTTTTTAATGAAGGTAAAATAATTTTATCTGGGTATCTGGTACTATATGTTACTGTACCTTTTAGCCTAGTAAAAAAAAAAACGATACTTTTTTTACGAATATTGAAAGTTCAAAAATGTACATGGATGGTAGCGTAAGAACACCCAATTCTTTAAATAGTGGTTTGCAAGAAACTAATGGCCCGACACCATAAATTGCTCGTATACAGCGTTTTTGCGCTATAAAAGCACGGTTTACATCAGTCGAGTTTCCTAATAATATGAGACCATATCTTAATACAGCAGCGACATATGCATGATATGCTATAAGGGAAGTGTTTCTTGACGAGATTGAAGTTAGCCTTCGCAGAGCAAAATTAAATTCAAATATTTTAGAACAAACTTTATCTATGTGATTTTTTCCAATTACAGTGTTTGTGTAAACTAATACCTAAAAATGTGGTACATTCAGTGGCAGTAATTTTTTCACCATTATACTTTAATATCAAGTAATTGTCGAATAATTGTTTGTCGAATAATTGTTGAAAAAATTGAAATCGAATAATTAAAACATTGTCGAATTGCATAAATTTAGAAATGTCGTCAGCAAATAATATTGTATTATGTTTGATGTAATTTGATAGGTCATTTATGTAAATTAAAACCAGTAAAGGACCTAAAACACTCCCTTGTGGCACTCCGTAATCATTTGTTAAGTACGAAGATTTAAATTTTAAAATATCTTGCCGCTTTTTATCTTTTTGTTGTATTTCAACACATTGTTTTCTATCTTTTAGATAGCTATGTATCCAGGAGTAAGCTAGCCCTCTTATACCATAAGCTTCAATTTTTTTTAAGAGAATATCATGACCAACACTATCAAATTACTTTAATCGCTTAGGCCCGCCTTATGAACTTGAGTGCCTATTGTAATCGACTAATCGACTGTCTGCTGGGTTGAGCTGTCGTCAAGATCTCCTAAAACTTTGCAAAGTGACGCATCAACGTCGTCACCGGTGAAGAAAAATTTATAAAAACGAAGATCCCGGATGAAGGAGAATATGGCTTAAAGGATAAGCATCCAAGCCAAACATACTATATCTACGTGCTACATAATTTATTGATATTTATTAGTTAGTCTATGATTCAAAATGGCAAGCTTTTCGCTTGTGTATTTATCGCTGAATTTTTGGAGAATATATAAAATAAAATAAATGCAAAACGCTTAACTGTGATAACTTTAATCAATAAAAGACAATGTGGTATTTGTTTATATCTTAGATTTTCTGGTGAATATGGTTATTTTAATATACAAACCGGTGAATACTCCAGTTCTGAAATAATACTGAATTCTTTACGATGACTTCGGTACAGGAATTTTCGTGCATATTTTGCAAGGAAGTCTTCGAAGATAAAGAGACATTACAAGTTCACTTCAGGTGGTTTATTAGTATAATATATACTTACATGTTCAACACTATTCTCAGGTTTTTAAGAATTTAACAGACTTGTTATTAATTATTGTTGTTAGGAAGCATGGAGATCCAAAATTTGATCAAACTGCAAAAGCCAAAGTTCGGAACCAGAACGATTCGCCGACATCCGTTGATACCTCAAAAGACGACAATGAAATGGTTTCATGTGATGTATGCCCCGAAGTATTTCCCACAATATCGAAAGCGATAACTCATAAACACAAATTGCACCCAGACCATGACGCGAAATATTTTTGCCCATGGTGTGGCAAGCTGTTCACTTTAAAGGTAAGTGTATTCTTAAAATAATTGTAATTTGTAATTATTTTAATCTACCTACATAAAAATGAACTTAAACTACACTGCTACTACTATGTGCAAAATTTAATTGAATTTTGTAAGCTGTAATACATATAAAATGTTAATCTCGTATCATTTAAGTTGCACGTAATTAACTTTACATCCTCAGATTTAAAAGATTTTTGGGAAAAAAATGGATATTTTATAATCATTTGAACCAGTTTTTAAATTAAAACATCACAACCGCAATATACCGTTTATTTTATTTACTGAATGAATACTTTCTGTAACTTTCAAGTCATTTGACCCAAATATCTTTCTAAAATCCTTTCTTATTGGATGCCTATCTGTATATAAAAAGAACCTACTGTTCCAATTTAACACTTGTATACTGATGTTTGGGCTGTGATTATTATAATACTTACTTACATCCTTACAATTCAAGAGTATTTGCACCAGCTTTCAAGTAAAAAAAAAAACATTTTCTATTATGTATATATAATATTTGTATATTGAAATTGGGTTAAAACAGGAGTACCCTTAAACAATGAGCATGTATGCATAGATATGTGGATGTGAAAGAAGTGGGACGGTGTGTTAGGTTAGGATCATGCCAAATGGAAATCTGTAGACTTTGCCACCACTCTGGGTTACGGGGAGAGTTTATGCATGTATGTGGTAAAAAAATATTGTATATATTATGTAGTAATTTTCTAATCTATAATATTCCATTATTAATTTCAAGTGTTCATTCATTACAGCCTATCAATAGGGGACTATGTTGAAAATAAGTCATTTGCCATAGTTGCCACGCTTGGCAGGCCAGTTGTAAACAGCAGTTTACATTATTTTAAGTTGTTATCAGGAAGGTGCTTCTGTCCATTTCCAGTTTCAGTTTCCATCTGTCATCTCTTACAACATCAATAGGATGATATGGGGGTAGAGGATGTTTTTGAATTTTCTAGTGGAGAGTACAGACTTCCTTATGGCATGATCCTGTCATACCTTACAGTCAATTGGGGTAACTTTGACAGTCAAATCGCAAAATACTCTTTTATTTTCTACACAAACAACATTTAGTGCATAACATTGAATTTATACAATTCATGTACTTAACAAACTTCGTAAACGAACTCTCCAGAAAAGAAGTAGCAATAATAATAAAAAAATAATAATTTAGATGTAATGAGTATGAAAACAAACCTGAGAGCACAGATTAAGTACATTCTTTTGTCTAATATTTAACATAGTAAAAGTTATATACAAAATGGAGTGATGATCTGTCAAAGTTACACTGATTGACTGTACTTGCTTCCTTCATATCCATATATATAAGATTATATGCTCTTTGGTTTAAGGATACCCTTGATTTGGCCCAACTTCAATATATTTGGTTGATAAACTTGTGTCTACGGTGTACCTGCCTGACTCTGCCACTCAGTTATGCAGCATAAAACTTCGTCAGACTTTCCTCATTCATTCTTTCTACCTGTCTAAACTAATAAAACATTTCTTTTCTCCTGGTCATAACATCTTGCACAACACTACTCTTATCACACAATTTTCACACTTTCAGTCAGAGAATAAGGGGACAAATGAGCACACAGTCCACTTGATGATAAGTAATTAGCTGGTGTGGCCCATAGACTTTTTTTATAGCCTTGTGTGACAAACGAGCATACAGCCCACCTGATGGTAAGTGGATGCTGTGGCCCATTGACATCTACACTTATCCTCAAGCAAGAATCAAAATGCAAATGCATTGTCACCCCTGAGGGCTAAGATAGAATGCCTCGATTCCACTAAAAAGTGTCTCTGGTTCTCTACACCACCATATGAAATGGCAGCATTACGCTGCTATTTTACACTGGTATTCTGTGAGAACATGGTACTAACCTGTTCGAGTTGACCCTTTCGTGCTACAACTACAATATATCGGCAGCGTGTCTCTACCATGTAAAACAGTAAACATTTATCTTTAATTAAGAAAAGAATCTAGATTTTTTGTCATCCATGAGGACTAAGATGGAATGCTGGGTTTCCAGTAAAAAGGTCTCCGGTTCTTAAAACTAACAAATGAAACACGTTAGCATTAAGCTGCATTATTCTGCAAGCAATATTTAATGCATGCTTGCAAAATCCTGGAGCTGTAAGAAGAGATGGACAATATGCACTGGCATATTATAGGATTATCTGAGATCCGAAGTGAGGGGGGATATGGTAATCCTCGAGTCTGGCAAAATGTACTATTACAAAGAGGGGGACCATCTGTCCTAAGAAGACGTCGTTGGCATTCATTTTGTTGTGGACCTGAGTTTTATATTATAATACACTCATTTTTATTTTATAATACACTCAGAAGCCTGTTTCTTTGTTGATGATGTGAAATACATCGGAAATCCTCTATTGAACTAGGGAACCTTAAGAAAAGAGGTTTAGTACCATAGAACACATACATACCTTTCCGCAAATTGTAAATAAGAGTATAACCTACCACTTTGCCTTGTGTATTTGGATTGTAGTACTTTTGGCGGTGCCAAGTTGACTGTCGGTATATGAAAGTGCTAGTGTTTGTTCAGTAGGGCTATGATGGCTATCCAAATATAGAACCAGAATAGAAACCCACCCAACTGCAGAGAGAGGTATAAGACAGGGTGATGTCTCTTCACTGCTGCAATATAAGTATGGTAAATATAAGATATGGTATTAACATCAATGGCGAGTACATCACTCATCTACGATTTTCCGACGATATAGACTGTCTGTGTAGTGTCTGTGAAGTCTTAAGCACTATGCTTAATGACCTCAATAGTGTGTCCTAAAGGATAGGTCTTAAAATTAACATGGACAACAATGGTCATTTGTAACGTACATGTCGGTAGTTGTTGGGAACACAATGCTAGATTTTGTCGACAAGTGTGTTTGCCTTAATACAAATTGTCGAACTAGGTTAAGTGCAACATCAACCGAGGGGTCAATTGACGGTTTCAAAACAGTTGGCAGTGTTTGGTAGATGACGACACATCTTCTCATCATGTATATCTCAATACTTGAAAACAAGAATATACTATCAATGCATGTTTCCAGTGTTGACATATGGATGAGAGACTTGATCCTTCACTGCTGGCCTTATTAAGAAGCTCAAGATTGCTCAGTTTTCAAGTTTCACTCTGTGTACTGCAAACTCTTTTCACTACTGTTCCCTTATTTTACATTTACTTTTATATTTGTGAAAATACAAGAACATTAAATGAATTTAATAAATATTAAATTTCAGCATCTTTTCAACAAACATTTGTTGTCAAGTCACGATTCTTCCAGCTTTGAAGTAACAAACAATTTTCATTGTGATTGTTGCGATGTGGATTTCTATAACACATCAGCTATGGTTTACCATAATAAGTTTTATCACAGACAGGACACAGATTTACCTGCTATCGGTCATTCTAAAAAACTAAAATTATTGAATCAGGTTAGTTGTTGTTTGTTTTTTATATAGTAAAGCTTTTTAATGTTCTACTGTAAGTTATATTAATTGAAAATGCTTTCAGGAACTAGTGCAAATCTATTATTGTCCATTTTGCGGCGAGGAGTATAACAACAAAGTCAATTTACATGTATGTAATTTTTGTGAGACTAAATTTCATTGCTAATTTTTATTACATGTAAACACCATGTATTTATTAATTCCAGAAACATATGACAGATGATCATAGTGATGAAAATCAAACCCCTGAGGATATACTTAGGTGTCCATTATGTGAGGCTGTATTTTACCATTTAGATGCTTATGAATTGCATCTTACATTTCACTCATCTGAAGACTTGTACAGTGAAGAAAATGAAATGTTAATATTGTTTTACTTGGTTTATGTGTACTTTTTGTTCAATGCATATAAATATTTTATCATGTACTTACAGGCTTAAACAAATAGTTGAGTTTTCATTGGATACCATACCTCCTTTAATAGAAAAAGTGGAAATTGATGCAATTGATGAAGAAAATGAAGATTTAAAAACAATTGGAATTGTAAGTAAAAGAATACACTTCATTTACTTTTATTTTAAATACGATACGATCGATGACTGACCAACATTTTATTGACCAATATTCGTCGATCAGTTAAATCTACCATACCAATCAATCGATGTCGATTAATTTGTTCGATCGACGATGAATCAAGTGGTGTGTTGGTAACGCCCTAAGAATAAATAATGCTCAAAATTATTAATGCAAGCAAAACGCAACCTTTGTTCTTTCTTTTTGTCTTCAGCCTTTTTGTCTTTGGGAATATTGTTAATCACGATTGTTTTAGTATTTTCTTATTGAAAGAGTGGAATGTTTGTATGAACCGGATTGACCCAGTATGTTCAATATATCTCTTCTGAGCTGACGATCGGAGAAGTTCTAGGAATGCGATAATGCAATCTACTTTGAAAAGCAACTATGAGGAACGAACCTACAATATCTGCGATTATTGAGGACCACTCCGAAAAAGCTTAGCGATTTAGGACGATGTAATTGTACACTTGCTGTGTGTGTGTTTTATATTATAACGTAAAATATGAAACTAAACCTTATTGTAAATTATGACAGAATAAATCGAACAGAATTAACTGTCTTTGATGCCCTAAAAGAGAAGTCGGGAAAAATACCCTGAAACAACAACATTTTCCGGTTTTTAAAAGAAACCGTGAAAAGTAAAAAAAAAAAAGTGCAAATAAAAAGCTTTATCAAGATTTTTGAAAGAAAGTGATTAAACACGACAAAGGTGTGAAAAGTTGACCTTGATCTATAATCGCAGAACATCGACAGGAAATTTTTCTAGAGAGGATGCTTCCTTCTTCTTGAAATAAATCTTCTGTGAACAAATATATATAAAATACCAATCATAAGAAATAGTTACAAACAACAGACACAAAAATAATCGAAATTATTTGATAATAATTTCGTTTTTTTTTGAGTCTATTGTCAACTAGCGACCCGCCCGGCTTCGATCTTAATGTGGCGTTATTTATATTTAAGAAAATCAAAAACATTTCTTTCGTCATTTTTTTATTTAAAAAAATCTTCAGTTTTTCAAATAAAATATAACTTAGATCCCTTCTGACATTGTTATCTGCCTGTTCGTAGTTTCATTTGTTCATCTGTTAACCTTTTCCAAGATCAGCCCGGACATACAGACGGCTCAAATATTATAACGGTTAATTATGTCTTAATAGCATGCAACTAAGCTTGCCCTCTGAGCTAATAAAAGTTAGTTAAGACAATTATTTCAATATTATAAACAGACACGCCAATTTTATTTTTATATATATAGAAAATTGAGTGAGCAATTATTGCATTTCTCTTAATGCGCAATTTATTATTCGTAGTTTTGGGCATAATTTTTTCAGTTCAATCCAGCCATATTCTCTTGTATAATAAGTAAATGATTTTGACTGTAATGTAATATTTTATAAAAAATTGTAAATAATTTGACTAGCAAATGATTTAGTGTGATTTCTGTTTTTAGGATCAATTTCTTCAATTGAGTATGAGCAAAGATTCTGAAGAAGAACAACTGGAACAAACTGAGAAAATAAAGGCGAAAAAACACAAGAAACATAAAAAATCTAAAAAGGCTATTACACTAGATGAATTCTTAAATATGAACGCAGATGTTTTTGGAGAGGGTTTGAATTTTCAGGGAATAGAAGAGGTGCCCACTCGTGTCGTTGCAAAACAGCTTAAACCAAAAAAAGAACAAGGAATAAAAAATCAAGAAAAAAAAGTAGCCTTGTCTTCTGATATTGATAAATTAAAAAAACAAGGTATAACTATAAAAATGAAGCCTGGAAAAAAGCTAGCTCCATCTAAAATTACAGAACAACCAAGTTCTTCAATGACTAATAAAGCTAATCTAATCAAATCAAATGTAATAAGTACCTCCAGCGAAGTTCTGTCAAAGCTTATGAGTCAAAGTAACAGTCAAATAAAAATAATGAAAAAGCCTACATTGATGAATCAAAATGTGGAGCAGAATGAAAAAAAAATTACTAAAGCAGAAACATATATAAAACCTCAAGATGTTAATTATTTTGATAAAGAAGCAAATCAATATGACTTGAAGCAAAGTAAGGGGATAGATAACGAAAATACAATGAGTGCAATAGATGAAAAATCAAATGACGCTTTATCTGCAAAATCAGACGTAACATCAAAAGATATTGAAGGAAATTTTCACAAAAGTCTAGTTTCAACAGATACTTTACCTGAAAATTATACAAATTACTCAGCACCACTAAATGAATCCTTAGATAAAGATAACATAGTTTATAAAAAAGATAACGAAAATGATGTTAATATAAATGATAACAAAAGTGATACATTTACAAATGAGGTGTTATGTAAGGGTACCGAAGTTTTAAAGGCAGAAGTCATTCAAGATATTAAAAAACACACTATTACAACTGCAGGACAAACACTTAATGACTTTGAAGAAGATCTGTCTAGTACAAAAATACTACGAGCAAATACCAATGAAATTAATGAAAAGAAATTTGCAGAGGATGAAACCGTTACTGAGCCTTCTCAAAATGTTACAAATAATACTTTAAATGCTATTAAACACCTAAGTCACCTTATTACTGTTAAATCTATCAATAATTCTAAATCATCACCGGTGAAAAAAGAAGACTATCCTTTGAATGATATTAGTCAGAATCAAGCTGAAGACTGTTTCAATGAAATAGAAGATAAAAAGTCGTATAATATCGATGAAATAGAAACTAGCATAGGAATAAATAAGTCTGTGAACCAGAAAGAATCGGAACCTAAAACGTTGGATGCTTTAAAAAATATAGGAAAACATGTTACAGTTAAATCTTTAAGCTCACAAGTATCATCGCCTAAAAGTGTAGTAGATAAATTCAGTGATGACAGTGATAATGAGAAAAATAATGACGGAGCAGAAAATGTAGAATCTACATATAGAAGCTTAGCAAATAATATTGTAGGTAGAAAAGTCGTTAATTTGAAGAATCAAAACAAGTTAGGGACAATAACAAAAGATTCACAAATAGGAAGTCCTATGCAAAACCCTACCAATAAAGTTACAATAAAAAATACAATAAATAAGAAATCACTACTGAATGAGGATGAGGACATCAATAAGTCTAATTCAAATGCAGATCTTTTGAAACGTTTAACTAATGTTACGGCAAAATCAATAACATCGAAAAAGAACATTAAGCAAGAACATACAATTGAAACTTCGATGCATGTAACAAATTTTAAAAAAAGCAGTATTACTGAAAGAGTAATGTCAAAGCATGAAGTAAATGAAGATATTGAGATTTTTAATATTGATGACTCTGACAGTGATGGCCAAGATAAACAAGATTTTAACAAAAGGATAGAAACAACTAAATTGTCGATAAATCCGGTCAGTGTCAACAAAACAGGCAATGTTAGCTCTGATTTCAAATCTCATGAGGCGTTAAAAAATCTCGGTAAGGGTATAACTGTAAAAGCAGGAAACCAATCAGTTAAAAGCCAAAGTAATTTTAAAGATGAGGAAAATATTTCAGAACATAGTGATACATTTACAGACGAAGACGAAGATGTGGATATTAACAACATTAAAGATAAAATGTCTGTAAAACATTTCATAAACCAAAGCAATAATAATTTGCAATCGACATTAAAGAATCTTGGAAAAAATATAACGGTAAAATCGAACAATTCGTCTCTCAATTTACCCTTAAGAAAAACACAAGACAAGAATACTCAAAATATTAAAAAGATATATAAAAAAGATACTGAAAATGACTCAGATTCTAATGTTGGTAAAATAAAAATAACTGAAATAACAGATGATATCGCTAGTGATAATGATTTTTTTTCAGATGAAGATGAAAGCAAATATAATAAAAAAAATTCTTTACAGTCTCCCAATGTTGCTAATAGTGACATGGAAGATGATTTTGCTGAAGAAGAAACCTATGAAGATTTTTCTGATGGTGAAAACAGCAGCCATCAAGCTAAGGTAAAAATGAAATCAAATGAAATTACTATCCAGTCACAACTAAATAATTCACAAACAAGTGAAAGTCAAAAATGTTCTTTAAATAACTTTCAGATATTTAATAAAGAAATTACAATCAGACCATTAAAAGAACAGAAATGTTCTATAGATACGGATTCTGATACACGAGGTACAAATAAAGATGCTTCCAACATCTCAAATAATATTAAAGAGTCGTGTGCCAAACAATTCACACAAAAACAAAATATTAAACCTGATAACCTTCCAGCAGCAACAACAACAAGTCTAACACCAATAAATGAAAATATCGGAACAACATCAAATCAAATGAACACTGTAAATAAGGAAGTATCAGTCAAAACATTTGAATCACAAACTGTTATTGAAGAAATAACGACAACTGTAACCAAAACGATAAGAACTGTGAATCAGACAGTTAAACACGAAGTGAAAAATACAGGCCAAATAAACTCTAATGCGACATTTAGACCACAGAAAATTGCAAATTATAGTCAGCAAGGCAAAAATACACAGAATATTACATTTAGACATCCATCTCCTAGCATAGGAACTAAAATAAAAAATGCAACTACTCCAATTAGGTCCCCTAGTAACATAACTGTTAGACCTTCAAACCAGTTAGTTCCTGTACGAACAGGGTTAAATTTGACAAAACCTTGTAATTCTACAATGCCAAAAATAAGAAATAAAACTCCTTTTAAGCCACCTAATCAAAAACCAGTTACAGGAAGAGCGCTTAAAATTTCACCACAAGCAATGAACCAATCTATGAAAAGGCCTTCGGTGGATACATCTGGAGAGTTAAGTTGCTTTAAAAAGCCAAAGGAGACATTTCCACTACAAATACCAACATATAAAGGTGATCAAGATGGAGACGCCACCATGCATTTTTCGGCATCTCAGAGCAGATCTGATTTCACAAGCACTGTTAAGAACGTACAAGGAAAATCCGTAGTGACGTCCACACAAATGAAATCGGAAATGAGTACGAGTTCACATTTGAGTAAACTTGGTAAAATGTCTGGTCTAAAAATAGTGAAAACAAGTTCAAAACAAGCCACGCAAGTTGAAGAGAGAATAGAAAGTTGTGGAGCTAAAAGAACTATGGAAGCATTGCAAAAGTTGCAGATGCAAGGTCTTTTGGTAAAAAGACCGCGAACAGACAGTAATGATGATAATGAATTTTCAAATTCTGGCAGTGAAACCGAGGAAGCTAATGAATAATGATCACATATTATTTGTATGAAATACTGTTAATAATAAAAAATATTAAACTGTACAAAATTTAATTCGGTAAATAAAAAAAAGGAGTAAACTGAGTAATTTAATCGGCACAAATATGTATAATTTTTATTGCCATTCAACTCTTCGGTTGAGAACGTGGAAATGTTCTCAGAGGTGAAGGAAAACATCGCGAGGAAACCTGAATGTGCAAGAAATTAAAAATTTACCTTGGACTTGAAACTATGCATGGGTGCATCAGACTATTATCTGCTTCAAAATCCTCTCAAACTGAGAGGAAGCCGGTGCCCAACTATAGGGGTGTTAATAGGCTGTTACTTTACTTATACTATAATTACTGAAGTGTTGAAATTTCTCTACTCTGAAAACAACTTTAATACTACTTATTTGTGTGTGTTGAGGACACAAAAGTGTAAACTTAATAATGCCTAAACAAACGGATTTATTTCTTAAGTTATTATTTTTGACATCATTAATTTTTAATACTATTACATGTGTAAGTTAAGAAAAATGGTTGTATATATATACATGCGTGCGTTTTTGTAATTTCATAAGTGTTAGATGTAAATACGAGTTCGAATTAGATACCAGAAATTAAATAATTAGTAATAGTCCATGTTTTGTTATTTCAGTGCAGTAAGCAAATTAAAATATATGGACAATTAGTACAATAATGAGAAGACAAAATGATTAATTATTATTTATTATAATAGCTATTTACATACAGATAAATACCATCAAATACCATGTTATAAGAAAATATAAATGTCTTGATCTACATATTACACATATAAACATTGATATTTTATTCACTTAATTATCACTTATTAATCACATTTAGGTTAATTAATAATCTTATTCGGATTTCACCTCCACCTTATTCTGTCGCCATTTTTGTTCCTGTAAATATTAAGAATTGTTGAATCTTAAAACTGTATGTGGCGTTCATTTAGCGGAATAATTTATATTATGATAGTTCGATTACAAGGTTTTCACGAAATGTTAACTCTGAGTATTTATTGATATTAAAGTTAAGTGAGCAAAATATTATTTAATTGTATTATGCCTTAATACTCAAAGGCTGCTCAAATTTATGATTCCGTTAAGACTCGTGGTGTCTTTACCATTTAATTCGGTGACTGTGACACTACGAGACTTAACGACTTCATACAATGAGTAGCGTTTGAGTATTTGGTCATTAGTCAAATTATATGAAAGCGTAACAAACTATCTGTTAGTGTGAAATGATAAGAAAGCCCTAGCTTAGTTAATAAAATGAAAATGTTAATCCCAGTATTTATTAATCCTGTTCCTCAAAAAGCTCATACAATTTACAAATATTCTTAAATACAAAAGAACAACAGTAGAACAAGTACTAGTAAATCGTTAAGTACAGCGTCAGTTGCAGTTTTACTTATGGGCTAATAAAACTAATTCAATTTATACTAAAGTAGCATTTGATTTTGGTTATAGGTGCAAATTCAAGTAACAATAAAAATTATAAAGATATTGCTATGCCAATACATAATATTTATTAGTTAAACAAATTACAAACTATTAGTCAAACTACATAAAAGTATCTCAAAATATTAGATAAGTGAGAAAACAAAGCGCTACTTTAGTTAAGAACTTAAATATTACCCAACTCCATTATACGGTACCTTCACCAAGTCGAAGTTGAGCTCGCAAATTGTAGCTACACAAATACGTGCAATTGAGAAGTGCAGCTCTTATAAAGGCTATAGCGGCTGGCGATTAAAGTCTTGTATGATGTAGATAAAGAAAACGAACATAATAAATGTGCACATGCTTATCTTATTACTCGAACGTTTTTATCTTGAAGAATTTAAATTTTAGGCAATGTCAATTGTAGTTTGCATATACATCGTTGACAAGCTTTTGTTAGCTTCGTATATATGTATGTATATATTTGTCTATGTAACAGAATCTTAACGTTATTTTCACCAACTTGTAAGACTGTCGGTTGACTTTAAAATTTGCAGTGCAATAATTTAATGACTATCATAGGATACTATCCTGATAAAATAAACTATAGGATCATCACAGCTCTTGAGTCATAAAGTTTTTTAAAACTTGTATATTGTTATTTGTTAAATTAAATGAAATTCGTCTTGATTTCCCCGAGTGATAATCATTAGTATTTTTATTTGACTTCAAAAAAGAATGAGATTCTCAATTCGGCTGTATTTTGTTATGAGTACGCAGTTTTTTTAAAATTATATATAATGGCTTTGCCGCTGGGGCGGCGCCACTTAGGAACGTGGTTAAAAATTTTGACAAATTACGTGGCGGGGAATTTAATTTGTTAGGAAAATATAACATATTTTTTATTTATTAGATAAGAAATGAATAAACCAAATATACGCTAAAGTAGAAAAATAAAAAAAGGTAAATTTGAGAAACAAGCCACCGAGGCATTATTTTGTGAATGATCATCAATAATTACACCATTAAAAGAAGACTATATTATAACGACAAGTTCAATCTACCAGCGCCGAAAGTTGAGCGAGGTTTTTCAGCGATTATAATATACATCTGTAATCGTTTGAGGTCTTTGAATGAGGGCAGGGATTTTTTTTATCAAAGCTTTATTGTACCTTTTAGAGTTAAAATAAATTTTCCTTTATTTTTGTTATGTTTTCTGCTTTAAAATTAATTAAGGAAAAAAAAACAAATACCTAAAAATGATTTTATTTGACCATATGACTAGTTCGATTTTCAAGCTCTGGTTTAATTCTTCGATACACTGTGTTTAACAACTGACAGGAACTATTAAATTATATGAAAATTATTTTAACTTTTTATTTTCTTACTTCTTATTAGTTTACTTTTTAGGGCCGGTTGTCACTTTTTTAATTTTGATTTTCGACCCCCGACGAAAAAGACGAGTGTTACCATAGAGCTATTATGTACTACGTACTAGAGGAGACACTGCATTCAGCTACTCTGTTCCACTCAACTGCGGTGCATGCACTGCACTTTAATCAGTCACTCGCTAGGCGCTTGTAGAGTTGTCACGTGTTGTGTTGATTTAAAAAAAAATCTCTTGATAAAAATATGCCGTCTTGTGTACTTAGATATTGCACAAATAATTCAAGAAATGTCAGTAAAAACCAAGGAATTACTTTTCATCGGTTAATAAGATACTTATTCAATAAAAAAGTATTATAAATTAATAATAAAGCAAATTATTCCTAAGACGCCATCTCGTATCATTGAATATAGATTATGAAATTAATATGTTCAGATGCGACATTTCTGTGGGTACTTAAGTTTAGGACGAATATATTATTATACTACACATTTTTTTTTGTAGAAACATATAAGTTATTATAATTAAGCTAAATTTTTCATGTTTAAATCTGCTTATTATTCTTTTATTTTATTTTTAGGTTTCCACTTCAAAGTCAAAGTGGAATAAATTCGTCCATTTTTAACTCTCGCGTGCCCAGCATTTATGAACGATTATTTACAACATTTATGATTCTAATTTAAATAAATATATTTGTAATTTAAATTTTATGTTAATAAGTTTTGTTAAACATACATTTAGTACGTTTTTTTATATTTGACATAGATACCTTTTAAAATATTCAGATAACAATATCATCAAAATGTAATTCTGACATAATATTATGTAATATTATATTAAATTAGCACATATACAAAATAAAAAACAATTTAAAAAATTGTAAGTACTCGATATAATTAACAATACAATATAAATAAACAATTATTACATACTGACCATTCTACTTACGTATAATCTATAATAACAAAAACTGACCGCGCAAGCGCAAAGCGCGTTTATACCAACTGCGCATGCGCGACTCTACTATTACCGCGCATGCGCGAAGACATAGAAGTAGCGCACAATTTTTGTTTGGAATAGCTTCTCTAGTACTTAGTACATTATAACTCAATGAGTGTTACATGTTTAATGTGTATCTGTGTGCGTCTGTGGCACCGTCCCTCTCAAACGGATGATCCAATTTAGATTTAGTTTTTTTTTTAATCTGAAAGGTGACTTGATAAGTCTACTTAGCCATGATTCAAGAAAATCTTGTCAGCCGTTTGAAGATAATCAGCTCTTTTTGTTTCGGTTTTTTTTTTCAATTTAAGTTATAAATGTATGGAGTGTAGAAGTAAGGAGTTCAGACTGTGTATTAAAAAGTATCCACAGAAAACCGTTAAATAAGGGTGGCGCCACTATAACTACGGGGTGAATTTTAAAGAACGCACCGAAAAATATTAGTGGGATAGACGACTTTTTCGAGGTTATATTTACTAAATAAAATTATTTTAGAGCTACTGAGCAGTTTAGCAGCACACTTAAACCGCCGATAACTGCTACTACTACTTTTCAACTATTCTACTATGCGAGTTGGTACTCCTTACTTCTACACTCCATATATAAATGGTAACAAATGCGAATATGTCGCTCCTCAAGAACAAAGACATTTTGTTATGGTGAATCACTGTAGACTACATGCAGTTGGATATTTGTTTTTTAAATATGTAATTTACTAATCATTCCCAATAACGCTTTAAACAACATTACGATTTATGTTCGAGTATTAGAATAGTTATGTACTTAAACAGGGCAAACAATTTTTTTTATGTGTTTAAAGGTTATGATTTAATAAGTCTTGTCTACAAAGCATAAAAGTCAAAACTACCTCTGTAATTTGGATGGGGAGGTGACTTCGACTTGCTACTACTGCCACTGATATTTTTTTAATTATTAGTGACTAAGGGTCGCCCCAGTCGCGGATATCAAGTTTGTTCTGTTGGGCCCAAAATAACTAGTTTAGTGTAGAAAAAACGAGTTTGCTCTAAAATCACGTTTGGCTGATAAAAAAGCGCTTTTGATTGCAGGCTGCGGATACGGTCAGAACTTGTTGTTTGACCAAAATTTCAATCAAAACTACTTTTGAACGAAGCCTGCTATCTAAAGATCT